GCCTTTCGTTGCGCTCTTTAAGGACTCCACCAGCAGAGGGTGTGGATCGGATGTGACTCGCAATTGAAGCTCCGCCAGTGCCTGCTCCAAATGTTTGATTCGTAATTTTAAGGCTGTATTCTCATCGTGTAATTCCTTAGTATTACTGAGGATGAATCTAGTTTTTGCGGAGTCAGTGCGTGTGTCACGGCTGCATAGGGCATTGACGAGCCTTGATCCCTTTCCGGCTACTAATTGTCCATTTGGACATATTGTAGGACACCCTCTTCTAACACAGGCCCCACAGGGTAATTTTTTATCGCATTTCAATCTTTCTGGTCGTGCTTAGATTTCAGCTCGAAGAAAATCTGCTTCTTTGACTGACTTTAGGCGTCTACATTCAGCACAAGCGTATTCCAAGGTATGGCTGGTTGCAGGCATAAGATTGGGGAGCAGTCAAGTTTGGTTGCAACCGCAGTCGGACCGGGGCGGCTGCGTTCGGCGGCCTTCTCGCATGATGATTTCGACTCATGTAAACCTCTTGATCGCGAAATAAAGTCTAGATCCCATTATGGACTGATAATAGATACAAATGAGTAGAAAGTCACTGGTCAAACTAAGGAAATGCAAGATTTTCACAAGAGCCTTGAGTGCATCGCGGTCATGTCTAAGGAATGAGCACGGACAGGAGCTCTTCCCATACCTGGTCCTGTGATATCTGCTCACTTAGTTGGAACGGGTCTGTTCCTTGTGCTGGATATAGATCATCATGCACAAGAGGTTGCGGTATACCACTACCAGCGTAACCCTGTAAGTTGGTCAATTCGGATGACGAATCACCATAAAGGCTGTTTGAAGGCCAAATAATCGATTCAGACGCCTGAGCCACAAAACCGGCTTGGCCTGACGGCTCCAATTCACTTGTATTGACTGCATCCCGATGTAGAACTGTAAGTGAGGCTGACTCAGGATATTGTATATTCCTGGGCAGGCCGGATACACGTGATGATAGCATATCCTGCTCCTGGGCAATGTTAGATGTGGTACCTTCAATCACGTCCGTCGGTTGAGCACGATCGCTTCTATCCGCTTGTGTTTCAAACTGCTTCACATATTCGAATATTGTAGGGTGCGTTCCAGTTGGTAGGAAGATCTCCCTTTGTTCATTTGTAATGCTTGAGACCGTCTCTCCACGCTTTGTTGGAGAAACAAAGTTGGATCGTCCGATGAACTTCGTAACGTCTGCAGCAACTTCGTCACGAGGTTCAGTCATCGGCCATTGTCCCTCTTGGTACTGCGCCATAGCAATATGAGCCTGCTTGTGAAGTTTCATGATTGTTGGCTTTACGTCTCGTTAATTCTACCCTAATTGAACATCTTGGAAGCACTGACCTGTGCATGGGATATGCAATATACGATTACTTGGGTGAAGAAATCCTTAGATTGATCCACCTCGAGTAAACTTGATTGTGCCAGGACGCACCCTGGACTTTTGATTACAACGGCGCATAGGCATACCTAAAATTCTATCAGGGATGATCTCGACCCGGGGAAGACGGCATACATAAGCCGACCTGAACCAATATTAGCCCAGAGATCAGGGACGTGATACCACTTACAGCGCATGAGCCCAGAGAAAAGGGTATCTTGGAGCCAGATGTTCGACGATCTCGTGCATTTGCCGAGTTCCTTGGAGCAGTATGATGGCACTGCGATGAACCGACAGTACACTTAAAGCATACTTACTCTTCAAAGGTTCATCGGACCGTCTAATCAATGCTTCCAGGAAATACCGCCGGTGAAGATAAAGCAGGGCTTTCGGGATTCAGTAACGCTTCCTCGAAGATGGAAACAGAATTACCGATTTCCCGTAGCCCTGTTGATGACATAGAACGTACGATACGGA